TGTCAAACGATAATTGCGTTTGGCGGAGCTGATCTCTGTCTCCTTGCTTTTGAAGACACTTTTCAGAGTGCCTTCTTAAGTGTGTAGTGCCCCGTGATAGTGTTACCTTGTAATTTCTCACCATAATATTTACATTGAGCTACGTATTTAATGTTACCGTTATTGTTGACGTCCTCAAATGTGTTGAAGTGTTCCCAAACTGCTGAGGTGCGCTTGCATTTCTTCTTAAAACTTGCAACACTTGCACTAGCACTACCGCTTGCCTCTCCTCCACGGCCACTTGTGCCACCACCATTGCGTCCCCGACCTCTAGTACGTCCACCAGGGATCAGATTTGCAGTTTGATCAGCAACTCTTTCCATAGTTTGCGATTCCTGCGATTGAAAAACATTAGGAAATTGCCCTTCTTCGAAGTTGATTTGGGCATCAATGGGAATATCACCACCATAACCAGAAGAAGCCATTATGAAAAATAAGAGAGATTGAGAGCGCTTTGAGAGAGCTTAAGAGAGATCGAGATTCGAGAGAGATTTAAGTGAGATTAAGAGAGATTTGAGAGAGATTAAGAGAAATTGAGAGAGATTAAGAGAAATTGAGAGAGAATGAGAGTTTTGGGGTGAGGAAAATGGTTGGGGCGAGGGGGGGTATTTATAGGAAAATTTTTGGGTTGAAAAAAAAAAATTTTCCCCCAAAAACTCGGGTCCAACGGCTACAAAATTTTCGGCCAGTTAGGCAAAAATCGGGCAGTTCGGGCAATGGCACAAAATCCGACCGTTGGGTTAAAAAATTCGGGCAAAATTCAGGTTCGGGCAAAAGACCGTTTTTTTTCAAAATTCGGGCATTTTTCGGGCTAACGGTAAAAAAAATCGGGCATTTTTCGAGCATGGGGAAAAATTCAGGCAGTGGTCACCAAAATTCGGGCACCGGTCACAAAAAATTCGGGCAATTCAGGCACAAATTCGGGCAGATTCAGATAGCTTCGGGTATTGCCGGAAAATTCAAAAAAAATCCGGCGAACGGCGGGGGACGGCTTCTCCACGGCGGCAGGCTGTCAGGGGACTTACTCTTTTCGGGCTACCCGAGCTCGTGCCCGAAGAAAAGCATTTTCAGGCGGTGAGAGGGGCCTGCCCGCCGTGCCCGAAAATTTTCGGGCATCGGGCAATCCCGCCGCCCAAAAGTTCAGCACTAGAGCCAATAATACAATAAGGATTTACTCATTAGACTTAATGAGCAAAATAATTAGCCATTAGCATGCAAAAGAGAGGTCATTTATCTTTGTTTTTTTTTTTTTTTTTTCGCTAATGACTAATTAGTAAAATTAGCTAATTAAACATCCCATATTGATGTTTTAATAAGTTTAAAGGAGACATCTGCACATTAAACATATAATTTGTAGTGATCTTTTACAACACAATTAATTTGGATTTTCAGGCACGTACGCATGGCTAAAGGTATAAGTTGCAATTAAATCACAAATGTTTGGAAAATTATAAAACTCTCTCATGAGTTTAACTCAATTTGTTCAAGTGAAATACAATGTTCAACTCAATTTGTATCCTCTCCAAAAGTCACAGGGGATCCCATAATAATATTAATTATTTTGGAACAACAGAAAATGAAAACGAAAAAAAAAAAAAAAAAAAAAAAAAAAAAAAAAAAACAGTATAAAGAATTGGACAAATAAGGAGACCAAAAGTTGACCGAAGTGTTAAAACCGATCAGGTTGTCTCTCTTTTTCCACGCCCTCTTTCTTCCTCTCATCCTCTATTCCCGTATCATTCCCAAATCCTCAAAAGAAGTCAACAATTTCCTTGACGATCTCCTCAAAAATAACCATGGAAGTCGTTTATGGCACGGCCGTAGAAGTCTTGAAAAGGGTGGCCACTGCTGCGGAGCAAGAGATTTGCTTGGCATGGGGCATGAAAGAGGACCTAAAGAAGCTTGAAAAGACCATGTCCACCCTCAAAGCAGTGCTCTTAGATGCCGGGAAGAAGCAAGAACAAAACGAAGCGCTACGAGTCTGGCTGAGGCGGCTTAAAGATGTCTTCCTCGACGCTCAGGACGTGTTGGGAGAAGTCGAGTGCGAACTCCTAAGAAGAGAAGTGGTGAAGACACATGGCAGCATTGGTCGAAAGGTACGCCGATTCTTCTCGAGCTCCAATCCCCTTGCGTTTCGGCTTAACATTGGTCATCAAATTAAGGCGTTAAGGCAAGAGTTAGATGATGTCGCCAAAGATAGGATACATTTTCATCTAAATGAGAAGCAGGATCTGATGCAAGGGAGGAGGGAGATGACATCTTCTTTCGTTAGGCCCTCAGAAATTATAGGTAGAGATAGTGAGAAAGAAAAGATCGTTAATATGTTATTACAGAAGAATCACAATGATCTTATTATCTCTATCATTCCAATAGTTGGAATTGGGGGTCTAGGAAAGACTGCACTGGCAAAGTTAGTTTACAATGATGACAAAGTCACTCAAGAGTTTGGTTTAAAAATGTGGGTCTGTGTCCAACAAGATTTTAATGTTGCTGAATTAACGAGAGAAATTCTCAAATCTGCTATTAGTGCAACTAGTACGATTAATGAAAATTTCTCTATAGATCAAGCACTGAAAGGAACAAATGATATCAGTAACTTGTCCGTAGATCTGGTGCAAATTTTCTTACGAACCACTTTAAAGGATAAGAAAATTTTGCTAGTATTGGATGATGTCTGGAATGAAGATCGTAGCAAATGGAACGAGGTGAAAGATCTGTTGTTGACGGCGTGTGCTAACGGAAGCAGAATCATAGTGACAACGCGTAATTCTTCAGTTGTCTCTGTCATGGGCACAACCCCAGCACATAATTTAGAATGTCTTTCGGAGGAGAAGTCTCGGTCTTTATTTTTCAAATATGCATTTGGAGATGAGCAATTGGCTGAACAATTTTCAAAACTTAAAGATTTTGGTAAGCAGATTGTTCAAAAGTGCAAAGGGGTTCCTTTAGCATTGAAGACATTGGGAAGTTTACTTTCCTCAAGTACTGATGAAGGTGAATGGAAATATGTGAGGGATAGTGAGATATGGGAGTTGACACAAGTGGAAAATGATCCTATTCTATCTGCACTGAGATTAAGTTACAATACAATGTCGCCACAATTGAAACAATGTTTTGCTCATTGTTCAATTGTTCCAAAGAACATTCGTACGGACAGATTAGACATTATCTGGATGTGGATGGCACTCGGCATCATTGAGTCACCTAATGATAAGAGGGACTTGGAAGATATTGGGGAATCACATTTCAAAGCGCTTTGTGCAAGATCATTTTTTCAATATCTTGGTGATGATGAGAGGCTTTTCAATTTGTCTCAAGTATTTGAAATGCACGATTTAATTCATCAGCTTGCAAGTTCAATCATTAAACATGAGGTTTACACAGTAAATTCTGACACTAAAATGTCGTGTGATCAGTATGTGAGATATTTGATGATCTTTTTAAGAGAAAGTCATGGTCAGAGCATCTCAACAATCTTGCATAAATTAAAAAAAGTGCGGAGTATTTTTCTTGGATATGAAACAGAGCAAGAGCTCCCCAGCGTCGAAGAGTGCTTCCTTCCAACATGCATCTCGAAATTTAGATACTTGCGGCTGTTTGATCTAAGCTTTTTATCCTTTGATGTGTTGCCAACTACAATCGGCACGCTCAAGCATTTGAGATATCTGAACTTACAAGGAAATAAAAAGATAAAGAAACTCCCCAACTCCATTTGCAAATTGCAAAGTTTGCAAACTCTGATACTTTCTAGATGTTCAGAGCTCGAAGAGTTACCTAAAGATATAAGATATCTGATCAACCTCAGAACTCTGTTTGTAACGACAAAACAAACCCACTTTCCGGAGAATGGAATTGGACGTTTGAAGGTTCTTCGATTTTTGGTTATTTTTCAATGTCGAAATTTGAGATCCTTACCACACGATATGAGATATTGTGCTACATTACGTACTCTTCTGATAGGTGATTGTGAACAACTTGACTTGGCGATCGGACCCAATGAAGTTATCCCGATGAGTCTTCAATCATTGCTCATTTGGGACTCACCACAAGTGACTGCTTTGCCCCATTGGCTACAAGGAGCTGCTCACAGTTTGCAGCGTTTGGGTATTCGAGGTTGTCCCAACTTGGTTGCGTTGCCAGAGTGGTTTCCAAATCTCACCTCACTTCAGAAGCTTTTTATTTTCATGTGCCCAAAGTTGTCGTTTCTACCAATTGGGATGCAACGGCTGACGTCCCTAACAGATTTGAAGATTGTGGGTTGCGATGCATTGAAAGAAAGATACAAATCTGAAATTTTGAGGATTGGCCAATTATTGCACACGTTCCAAACTTCGTAATGGCCCAAATGATCTTATTATGTCCAGGTATGCTTTACGTATATGTCTAATTTTATCGACTCTAATTAGTTATCTCTTCTTCATTATCCAAACCATCAATAATAGACTTGCATTATGTTTTTTTTCTGTCCTTTTTGTGTGTGTGTGAGAGAGAATGACTTGTATGTATATGTATTATGTGTATTTACTGTTTGTATCACTCTTTCTTTCAATTTCTGTATTTACTGTTTAACATGTAGATTCTACTAATATGATATATTATTTTTTAAACAGAAAATGAGATTGTAGAATCCACGTGTCATATAGTGAATACAGCAAAGTGACAAAAAGAGTGATACTAGCATACTTATTTTCTGTGTGTATTAATTTCTGTTTGATTTTTCCAGTATATTTATGCTGGTTGCTAGGGTGAATATTGATTTCAGAAGAGGAAATCATTATTTATATAGAATTCTACTACTTTAGAAGACAATAATTGAAGATGGTAACTAGATAAATTACATGAGGGAGTAATAGACATGCTTGTTATTTATACCCAAAAAAAAAAAAAAAAAAAAAACACGCACGCACACACACACATAATGTCCGGTAAGTGTATCAACTATCAAGAAGCTAATCTCATGATTTCTTTTTTATCAAGAAGCTACTTATATTAAACTAGAGACTAATTAATTTGAAAGTGGTATTTTCTTATATAAAATTCTTTTTTCCCTGATATGTTTAAATATACCATACATCATGTTAGTTCAAAATTTATAAGGAAAAGCACAAATCCATTTCTTTTTCATCTTAAATTTCTTCGTCCATTGCAGTTCTACTGAATGCTCCAGGATGGAAGCCTATAGCTATTGGAAGCCTCAAGTACCCAGTTGCCAATGTTGGTGTTGTGTGGTGTTTAAATAGAAGTATAAATAATTGTTTGTCATAAGTTTCAGTATATTTGTGTGTATCTATCAACATATTCTTATATTTCCCTTGGTCAATAATTAGAATAATTTGTGTGCTTTTCTAATTTGAAAGAATTAATAAAATGACTGAAAACATTTGTGCAATTTCCAACAATATTGGAAGGGATGTGCAGATATGAATATATATGAAATGCTCAGAGCTTATGGATACGAATCGTTTTCGTTGCTCAATTGCAATTTGTAACTACTGAATCTTACACACAAACTTTTAAAAAGGAGGATAAGTATACGTACAAAAGAAATCTTATGAACAAATTCCCTACAACAAAAGGAGGATAAGTATACGAATCGTTTTCCTAGCTCAATTGCGGTTTTGTGTCACGATATTACAAATTTTTAAGGAAAAAAATCAAAACTATCAATCAAGAGGGTAAAAAATTTTATTTATTCCCCTCCACTAAAAAATAAATAATTGTCACTCAATTAATAGGAAGAAAATAAAAAGCAACAATAGCACTCAATTATTTAAAATAGTAAGAATAATATATTTTTATAAAATCATGACAAACCATGTAGTTTTTTTAATTTATATTTTTAATGTCGTACTAAGAGGATTCTACAGTTGAAACCTTAATTAAATGATTAAATATGCAGTTTCTGAGTCGATGGTTATCTATCATGTTACCGAACGCAATCTGTTGTGATACTAAAGGTAATTTGTTTGATTATAAGAAGTATCAGATGGCTACTGTATGTACTATAATTTATTGTGCTACCGATCATTCGTTTACTTAAATGCTGAAAAAGACAACTTAAAAAATTTGAAAAAGCTTCGCTAGCTAGTAATTTGAACTTGCCAAATCTAGCCAACCGGCACCAGATTTGACCAACATCACCTCTCAATTAAAGGAATCCCGTTCGTTTCACCAAAAATTTGTCCTAAACACAAATGTAGATTATTTCCAAAATTAAAAGAATACTTGTTGACGGTGTTAATTCGTTAACTCGGAATTTAATCTCATCAGAAACACTCATGTAACAATATTACTCACGAATTAACAAGAAAATAAATGCAAAAAATAAAAGAACACTAAAGTTTATAGCGGTTTGCCAAAATATAGTTGCTTACGTCTACTTGTGTATGCACTAAATCTCAAAGAGCTTACAGAATCTCTCTAATAACAAAAACTTGTGCCAATTTAGGTAATTTAAGATTTGAATAGGATTTCATAGAGATTGTCCTCATATGTTCCAATTGGTGATTTTTGATCTCCCATTTGAATTTAAATAAGAGATTAGAGTTATGTCCTCCTGATTCTATGGGCTTAGGTTGACCTCGACCTTGTATCCGAACTACTGATGCCTCGACGTCGTTGACATTGCATGTTTTGTGGGACTCCTCGACCAACTTCGGACATCCGTTTGGGTTGCTCCTCAACCTAAGAATCCTTCCATTCGAGTACTTCTCAACTAGCAGGTTTCATCCCAACTTTCGGATTCTTAACAACTTAACTGACTCATATGATCGGATTCTTTGACCATGGTGTAACAATAATAATAATAATAATAATAATAATAATAATAATAATAAAAATAAAGAAGCCCTCCAAAAGCAAAAGTCCGAATAAATATTAACATGTATTTATATCAGCGTAGCGATTACAATAGTGATACCAAATCTGATTTGGTTGATAGATGTTTTCTTTCTGTCTTCTTACTTTTTTTTTTTTCTTTTTTGTTCCTTTTTAGCGAAGGCAATATTTCAATTATATTCTCTCTCTCAGCTTGAACAGATATGAGTTAGTGGATATCATGGGTGAAGCGATAATATTTATTTGCAAAAAATATGCATATGAATACTATGTTATATTAATAATACTACGGATCGATGAACTTCACTCACTTTAGGTGTGGTAGTACCATTTGAAATTTTGAAACGATCAACAATTGTCCAGCTTCGTACTGAAATTGGTATTCTATCATGATACTGAAGGTAATTCTACAGTTTATCAGAAGTATCGAATTGCTGTTGTGCCACTAGCGGTATTCTATTGTACTACTGACTATAGTATACCGGGCTACCATGTATTTTTTTTCCGTAATATTAAAAGAAAAAAAATTATAAAGGAAATATCACCAGAAAACTTTCTCCACTTAGAACTTCCTAGATGTGGTCAACCAGAACAAGATTTGACCAATATCCCCTCTATATAGCAATCCACACCGAAATATATTTTTTTCACCCAAAATTTGTACTCCTAAAGAAAATCATTTCAATCACCAAAAAATAAACATTTTATAACACTATTCGGAGGAATAACATGTGTTCATGTGACAGTAGTAATACAAAATCATGATAAGATAGACAGATTTTATCTTTCCTTTTTTTTTTTCCCCATTTTGCTATAGTAAAGTCTCTAATATTATAACCAATTTAATGGTTTTTGAACATGAACAAAACAAATACCCACCACTACCCATAAACCTCTCAACATATTCTATAAACAATTGAAGGGATAAGAATTAATAAATTATCAGTGGTCCCATTTTCTCTCATAAATATCTTCTAGCCTCAACAAACTTCAAAACTAATTATAAACCAAAAAGGGTTTCACACGTCCAAATTATTAGATGTATACATAAATAAATATGTATATATGTATATATAATAGATAAATATATAGATGAATATATTATGCATGGCACGTATAATAATACTACTAGTGAACTCCACCCACTATATACAATTAAGGGAACCTCATGATTTTTTTTTATTTTTTTATTTTTTTGAATTGGAAGAAACTTCATGATTAAGGTGTGTATGGTACCGTTGGAAATGGGAAACGATCGACACTTGTCCAAGCTTCAAAAATTATCTTAGCATAGTGGAATAAGTTGCTAATCTCTCTCTATATATATTATAATTGCATGGTATATACATTATATATACTTCTTCGCATTTAATAGGCCTCACATGGCACCGTGCATTACTGACCTATAGATATAGGTGACATAGCACAGTGTCTCAAGGACAATATATTCGTGTTCCACACTTTCTTCAGTGGCTTCAAATGGTTGCTGTAGAGAATCTCAAGCAAAACCTATATTATAATGTACTCATCTACGTATATGCCAACATTTTGAATATTTAACATCCAATTACATGTAGCTGATCAAATATCTATATGATTATATTTATGATATTTTTATATATTTTTTTAATCGTAGGACATTGTTGAGCGACGTCGACTTTGATAAACAAAAATATCTTGAAATTATCTTATGTGAGATATTTAGCTGGATGAGGCTTAAACAAATATCTAAAACCATCTTATATTCGGATAATTAATTTAGCTGTATTATTAAGGGTTTAGATAGATACAGATACCGAAATGCAAAAAAAACTATCTTCAAACGACAAGATATTCTCTGGGAAAAAAAAAAAAATCTCATCAGACCAAGAAACCAAGATCTTTCCTTTTTTCTGCTATCTCATACGTTTGTTTCAATCTCTTACAATTTCTTGTTGTTTCTCTTCTTTTTTTTTTTTTTTTTTTTGCTTTTATACGCTATAAACACATATATATATATATATATATATATATATATATATATTAACTTTAATATTGTTGTTGTTACTGCACTCTCAATTTGGTGCTTCACCAGTTCTTGCCAACTATTGGCGAATGGAAAGCTCTGTTTGAATGAGGTCGAATAGTGCAAATTGGTGGTAATGGTGGGTAGAAACTACAAATAAGTATGCTTTGGTGGTAACTCAAACCCGAATCTTCGGTTAAATAATTTCATTTTTTTTCTATGTTTTAAAAAATTGTTTGAAATACCTCGACTATTTTTTAGCATCCAAATTAATAAAATATGGATTCTAATACTGTGCGTCTCATATGTATTATAGGATTCGCATTTTAAAAATGGATTCTAATATTGTACGTCTCATATGTATTATAAGATTCACATTTTATTAATGATTGTTGCTCAATATCACCGATACCAGTGCCTATATATGTCAACGACTTATTGAGTATGCTAACAAAAGAAGTTCATATTCCTGTATTCGTCTAATCCACCCCGAATGAATTTGCAACGAAACTCTCATTACGTCAGAGATGACGTTTTGTATGTTTCATTCAAAGAAAAGTAGGGACAGATTTTGAAAGGATTTAGAAATTCAAGGACATTAATCTAATACTAATAAAGTAGCATAGTATTCGTGTTATTATCAAAATAAACAGGATGCTTTTATAATCATTCCGTAATAAATAAAAAATTTGAAATAGTTATGAATATACTTACTCTATATTTTTCGTTATCAACCAAAATAGATGAATAGCTCAAACTTACACATGAATCGAATGCGGATAGGGATAGATGATCTTATAGATCATATTGCTCGATCATATAACAAACACTTAAGTAGAAATATTAAAATTTACTTATTTGATGAATCTTGTACATATGAGCATGGCCATGTTTGATAGCTTGTATTGTATTGTATTGTATTGTATAAGGTGTATTATATGGTGTTGTATTGTTAACACAATACAATATTTTGTGTCATAACGTATATTGTATAAGGGGTAATGTAAAATTTTAAAAAATTTAGGGTCAAAATATAAATTTTCAAAAATTTTAGGTAAGACTTTAATTTTTCAAAAGATTTACGATCAAAACGTAATTTTGTAAAACTTTCTAGAGTCTAAATGTAATTTTGCAAAAAAAAAAAAAAATTGAGATCGAAATGTAATTTTGAAAATTATAAAGTTGTATTGTGCCCCTCAATTTTTAAACATTATAAGCTCACACATGACTCTATGTCAGCCCAACCCTAACCCTCGGTTGTGCCCGACACCGAAAAGAATTATGAATTTCAGATAAAATAATACAATATGATACGCAAAAAAATGAGTCATATTCAATAATACGATATATACCATATTAATTTACTATTCGTATTAGTTTATTCAAAATGATAGTCACACTAAACATTGTATTATATATTATTATACAATACAATGCTCTAGTACGGTCAAACAATCATGCCCCATATTGATGATATTTTCACGTGTATATCAAAAATAAAAGAAAACCTAAAAACATGAAAACAAAATTAACAATAAATTAAGAAA